AATTCCACTTATAATAACATAATAAAAAGAAAAAATATTTTGGAATTAATTTAACAAAAGAAGTACAGAACTTGTATACTGAAGACTACAAAATACTGTTGAAAGAAATTAAAGACATAAATAAAAAGACATCCATGCTCATGGATCAGAAGAATTAAGATGGCAATAGTATCCAAACTGATCTATAGATTCAATGCAATCCCTGTCAAAATCTCAAATGTTGTTTTATGTGTGTGTGTGTGCAGAAATTGACAAGCTGATCCTAAAATTAATATGAAAATGCAAGGGACTCAAAATAGCTAAAGCAATCTTGAAAAAGAAGAACAAAGTTGGAGAACTCATACTTCTTAACTTCAAAACTTAACACAACTCTACAGTAATCAAAACAGCAGGGGTACTAACATAAAAATAATAGACATATAGAACAATGGAATAGAATTCAGGGTCAGGAAATACACTCTTACATTCATGGTCAATTGATTTTTGACATTCGTGTCAAGACAATTCAATGGGGAAAGATGAGTTTTTTCAACAAATGGTGCTGGGACAGCACACCACATGTCAAGGAATGAGGTTAGACCATTTCTTCATACTACACACAAAAATTAACCATAAATGGACATAGACCTAAATGCAAGAGCTAAAACTACAAAACTCTCAAAAGAAAACAGAGAAGTAGATCTTTGTGACTTTGGATTCAGCAACGATTTCTTAAATATGACACCAAAAGAATTAATGACAAAAGAAAGACTAGATGAATTGGCCTCATCAAAATGAAAACCTTCTGGCCAAGGGATACCTTCAAGAAAGTGAAAAGATGACCCTCAGAATGGGAGAAAATGTTTGCAAACCATATACTTGATAATTATACATATACTGATACTTGTATTCAGAATACATAAATAACTCTTATAATTAAATAATGAAAAGACAAATTTTATTTTATACAAAGGGCAAAGAATTTGAATAGAAATTTCTCTAATGAAGACATATAAATGGCCAATAAGCACATGAAAAGATGTTCAATGTCATTAATAATTAGAGAATGCAAATCAAAACCACAATAAGATACCACTTTACTCCCAATAGGAGGGCTAAAATAAAAAAGAGACATTAACAAGGGTTAGCAAAACTCAAAACATATGTCCTTGGGCACCTGGGTGGCTCAGTCGTTAAGCATCTGCCTTCGGCTCAGATCATGATCCCAGGGTCCTGGGATCGAGCCCCACATCGGGCTCCCTCCTCCGCGGGAGGCCTGCTTCTCCCTCTCCCACTCCCCCTGCTTGTGTTCCCTCTCTTGCTCTCTCTCTGTCAAAAGATAAAATCTTTAAAAAAAAACAAACAAACATATGTCCTTGCAAAAACCTGCACATGAATGTTCATAGCAGCATTATTCATAATAGCCAAAATGTAAAAACAACCCAATATCTGTCAGCTGATGAATGGATAAACAAAATGTGGTCTATCTATATAATGAAATATTACTCACCAATAAAAAGGAATGAAGTACTGATACATGCTACAACATGGATGAAACTTGAAAACATGCTAAGTGAAAAAATCCAGATACAAAAGGCCATTTGTTGAATGATCCCATTTATGTGAAATGTCCAGAATAGGCAAATCTATAGAGCCAGAAAGTAGATTACTATTTGCTAGGGGCTGAGGGAAGGGGGTGGAATAGGGAGTGACTGCTAATGGGTACAAGATTTCCTTTGAAAGTGATGAAAATGATCTGGAATTAGATAGTGGTGATGGTTACAAGATCTTGTGAATTATATACTTTAAAGAGGTAAATTTTATGTTATGTGAATTATATCTCAATAACAACCAAAGAAATCTGGGGGGGAACGTGTTATACATTATGTGTAACCTTTTGCAGAAAAAAGAAGGGACAAATGTCTCCGTTTACTTTTGCAAAAAGAAATGCAGGAAGAATAAAACAGAAAACAATAAAATCATTTGTCTACAAAGGGTAGAGGTGGAAGAACACGATATTTTCTGCTGGCTGATTCTAGCTAGCCAGTATTATAGAGTTACATACAAAGAAAAAATTGTTAGCAAATCACTAAAAATTAAGAGACCCAGTAAGGATTTGGTCATGTGTCGACTTCACATTAGGAAAGGAAGGAAGGAGGGAAGGAAACAAGATAAAATGATAAAAGAGAAGGGAAGGAAGGAAGAAAGAGAAGGAAGGAAGGGGAGAAGGGGAGGAAGGAAAGAAGGTAGGAGAGAGGGGGCAGGCTAAAAGGAAGAAGGGGCAGTATGGGTAGCCTGGCATCAGCTGTCATAGTGGTAACATGCCTCAGGTTTCTCTATCTTATAGGCTGACCTTCACATCAGCAGGACAGCCCCACCAGGGCGTGTGATAGAAGGATGCCTGTTGGACAGCCACCATCAAGGCATTTTTCTGAGCTGCTTGGCGTGCAAGGGTCACTTGCATATTTTCCACTCCTGAATGGAATAAGAGCTAAAGGAAGAAAATGTGAAAGATATTAGGAATTTCTGCCAGAAAGAAAGAGATGAAGTTGGGGATTTCAGATCACCACTTATTTAACATGTAAACATATGAATCAAACTGCAGGATGAGCTGAGATCCTTGCTCCTCAGCCACAGGACTGAATCTGGTCTCTCTCTAAGCACCATTTCATCCTGGAAGGCACCCTCCAGGCCTGATTTGCTCTGTAGCTGGACACCAACAGGTTTCTGGTCAGAAAAGGATGAGTTGGCTCTGATGAACTAGCAAACGTGCTCAGTGGCAGCCTTTTAAAATTGCCAAGATTAGATCCATGTTTAAAAAATAAACACACAGGGGCACCTTGGTGACTCAGTCAGTTAAGCATTGGACTTCAGCTCAGGTCATGATCTCAGGGTCCTGGGATTGAGTCCCGAAGTGGGCTCCACACTCAGCAGGGAGTCTGCTTGTCCCTCTCCCTCTGTCCCTCCCCCTGCTCGTGCTTTTTCCGACTCTCGCTCAAGTAAATAAGATCTTAAAAATACCTATATAAATAAATTTAAAAAATAAAAAAATACACAAATACAAACCTATACATACACACACAGAAGCAAAGAGATTCATCTGAGTGGAAAGGGAAAATAATAGTACCAAGTTTAAGAAGATCAGATAAAAGCTCCAGTAATAGGTGCATGTTTTACAAACTTGGTACAAAGATGGTTCCCTATAAGTGCTTCCTTTTAAAACCTAACAGAAGTTATTGCAAGGGTGCTGCAGGCTCTATGTTTCAAAGCAGACCAATATGCACAACAAATAAGACAAGGCTATCGTCAGTATTTATGAAGTTGGAAGCTTTTCTTCTACATGGGAGCCAAATGTATGAATTAAACATGATGATTTGTAAAGAAATACATGAGCAAATTGCTTAATTTTACTTTGGTTTTCTTTTAAAAAAATAATTTACCTTAAGGATGGCTTCCTTTGTATAAAAGCTAAACTTGCAAACCTGGTTATCATCCACCTCAGAGATGGCTAAGACAAGAGTAGTAGGAGAATATCTGCAAGAAGAAACATGACATTGTTCTGTTGTACCATGGCGTTAGTCAAGAGATGCGCATTCTGATGGGACCAAACCATATGTGATGAGCTCTGAGACATCAGCAATAATACCAAGTGCAGATGCTACACAAGACTTGATATTTCTGCCCAAAGACTGAAGGGCTCTGGGGTCTTTTTAATCCTTATTGGACTTGATCTCCTTGCAGTTTCCTTGTGGTGACCACTGACTCCAAATTCTTTTTCTCTTGATCACCATTCCACTGTTTTATCCTGTTTCTCTTTGTACCTTTGACCTCATGTCCTCAGGCTCTTCACTGACTCAAACCCTTTTATCCACTCCCTAAAAGCTGTCCAGTTCTTTCTCTCTTCCATTGCCCCAATAATTATTTAAATGTTCTTTGCAACCATGTTTATGCCTTGGGATATAGTCCTTTGTCCATACTTATGAGACTTTGTCAAGTAATTTAATATCTATGAATCTTGGTTTCTTCATCTGTAAATGGGAGATATCACCTATCTCATAGGGTTAAGGCAAATATTAAATGGGATAATATGCATGAATGTGCTTTTTAAAATGTAAGCCACTATGCTCATGTTTGATATATGTTGTTGTTATAACAGCACTCCAAAGTGGCAACTTTAAGGAATTAACATACATAAAATAAATGCAAACTCAAGAGACAAGATCCTTGGATGCATAGACCTTCCCCTGGTAATTCAGAACGCTCCCCAGATCTTACAGGATTGTTGGATCATTGTTGGGAGAATCAATCATGGCTTGACCAGGTCACAGATCATTTGGGCACTTTGTGCTGATTGGTTGATTCCAGTTGAACAAAAATATGCCCTATTTTACATCAGTGCAGAATACCAGCTCCAGCAGGAGGCCTTGAAGAGCCAGAGCATAGCTTGGCTCCAGGCTGGAGACCTAACTAGCCTCATCTGAGGCCCAATCATACTTCCTGCCTTCAGTTTCTGTGAGACATCTCTATATCCTTATGATAAATTCTCTTTTTGGTTTAGCTAGTGCGACAGGATAGAGCAGGAAATATTTTGCCTCCGGGGGACATTTGGCAATGTCTGGAGACATTTGTGATTGTTACAATCGGGGAGGAGAAGGCCTATTACTGGCATCTGGGAGGTAGTGGTCAGGGATGCTGATAAACAACCTCTGCTGCACAGGACAGCCCCCTAGAAGAAAGGGTTATCCAGCCCCAAATTTCAATAATGCCAAGGTTGAGAAATTCTGGGATACCATATTCTATCATCCTAACCTTCTCCATTTCAGCCCATGGTCTCTTTGGAGAAGAGAGGAGTCCTTTAACATATTAACACATCAAAGTTACATTTTGAGCACTGATCCACACTAGCAAAACAAAGGGGATTTTTCCTCCTTGGAGTCATCTTTGCTTTCCTTGGGGTGGGGCCAGTACCAGGAATCTCCAGGGACAGAGCTCGGACCCTCAGGGGAAGGGCAGACTAGAAGAGAAGGAAAGAAGAGGGAGACAGAAGTTTCTCCTCAGCACACAACAAAGGCTGACTGCACAGAGGAAAAAGATTCCTTTCCCTGACTAAGTAGACTCATGATCTGTTACTAGTAAGAGTGTTTTCTTTCCAGCAATGGGCTGAACCTATGGGGCATGAAGAAGTTTCACTGCTTTGAGTCTGCTTCTGCTGCTGGCCAACAAAAGAGTGACTGAGATATTGCCATACACGTTAGATTCGTACATTATATTAGAGTTTCAAGGAAACAGGGGCTCAAAAAATTTGACTGACTTCTTCCTCGTCCCAGGGGAAGTGGGTGAAGCGATCTGGACTTCTGATCCATGGTTCTTGCCCTATGAGACAAACCCTCATACCCCTTTCTACCCAGAAGCAACACGGTCAACCTGGGCAGTGGCTGAGCCTGTGATTCTATCTCACTTGAGCTCTCTGATCCAACTGTTCCATTAATCAGTGTTTTTAAATTCAATTATCCCCTTTCATTGAGATCTCTCCCCCGCCCTTAGTAAAGTAAAAAAAGAAAGAAAGAAAAAGAAAAAGAAAAAAAGAAATGGCATCATGGCAGATAGAATATAAGAGAGGGAATTCAAATATAAAATTGTATTTGTGTGTCCAGTGGTGATAGAAATTATTTTTCACTGGCTGTTCATTCTACCACTACATTATTTTTACTTTGAACTTTTCAAGGCTCACCTGTCCACTTGATCACTGTCCTTCAGTAGAGAGGTGATAAAGACAGGAGATGGACGGTCCACTTTTTCTTTGAGTGGTGCAAATTCAAAGTGAACAGGTCTCAGATACAAATGGAACTCTTCAAAACCCATCTCCCATGCCAATTCCTTATAGAGACTAAAAGGGGGGGGGGTAGATAAAGAACCAAGAGCATTTACTATTATTTTCCACTAAAAGAAAAGTAAGTGGTAAGAAAACCCAAAAAATCTGAATAAGCACAAAAGCAAAAGTCAAAACAAGAGTAAGCCAAGTCCAGTATAAAGTGAATGAGTCACAAAGGTCTTGCATCCACTCTACATTATGACAGACAGTTAAATATAGAAGTTAAAGTAGGAGATGTGCTTGGGTACTTCCTCAACTCTCATTTCCTGCAAGCTGGCTTTTGTCCTCAGAGTGCTCATGGGGTCACCAATACTGCTTTCACTACAAGGCTATTTTCTCTCAGAGCTCTTTGCAGCTGGCCTCATCCTCTCTTTGAGGAACATCTTTGTTCTCTTGGATCCAGGATCTCCATGTTCCTGCCTCATGACCACTATCTCTCAGTCTTCATTGGCTTCTCTTCCTCTCTATTTTCAAATCCTAGTATTTCCTGGGGTTCCAAACCTGGTCTTCTTCTTATCTTCTCTGTTCCCTCCTTGGGGTGTTCATCTTCCAACCCTGAGCCCTAATGATCACCCCCTATTATAAGAACCTGTGGCCCTATCTCTGTCTTGTCCCAAATCTGAGCTCTGCTCCCACATTTACATGGCTTGGAGCAAGGCTCCGTTCAGATGCCCCTCTGGCATTTCAGCCTTAAGAGTCTAGAATGTCTTCCCCCCACCCCTCCTCTCACACCCACATTCTCTAACACATTTCTCCATTTTGAGAAGTTGGTACATTAAGGCTGAATTCAAATGGCACCTCTGTTAGTTTGCTAGGCTCCTGTAACAAAGTACCATAAACAGAGATTTGTCTCACAGTTCTGGAGCCTAGAAGTCTGGGATCAAGGTGTTGGTAGGGTTGGTTCCTTCTGAGGGCCATGAGGGAAGGATCTGTTCCAGGCCTCTCTCCTTGGCTTATAGATGGCCGTCTTCTGCCTGTGTCTTCCCATCATCTTTCTTCTGGTGTATCTGTGTCCAAGTTTCCTCCTCTTATAAGAACACCAGTCATATTGCATGAGGGCCCACCCTAATCATTCCATTCCTCTGTAAAGACCCTACCTTCAAATGGGGTCACATTTTGAGGCACTGGGGATTAGGACTTGAACATATAAACCTGCCAGGGAACACAGTTCATCCCTCAACAGTGCCTCTTTTATGAAGCTTCCCTTGATCCACTTACAGAGAATGAAATGCTCCATTTTCTGAGTTCCCATAGTATTTTGGTTGTATGACTAAAATATCATATTAAACTGTAGTAGAACTAACTTTTAATGAGCTCCCTGAGAACAAGGATCAAAAATTATGGGGAGATAGTATCATAAAAGTTAATAAATATCTTAACTCAGTTTGAATCCTGCTTCTACTACTTTCTAGTTATGTGATCTTAGGCAAATAACTTAACCTTCTGAGCCTCTACTTCCTTGCTGGTAAAATATTAGTAAGGATCCTCTTAAGGATATTCTGGAAATTAAATGAATGAATACACATCAAGTCCCAGGACAGACCCTAACCATAGCAGACTCTCGGTAATGGTTGGTGGTAGATGATTGGGCCCTTTAGGTCTTTAGGGCCTCTCATGAGGACTAGAACATAACAGAACTCATACATATTTGCAACTGACCCTTTAATTCCACATCTTTCCTGCTTCTAGAACATGTCCACTTGGATGTCTTCCCATCACCTCACATTCATACCTAAAACCTAACTGTTCAATCTCTCTGTCTCTCCCTACCTGTTGAGCCTTCCAAACCTCTGTCAGGCCTGAATACTGTCACTGACTCCTCCCCTCCTCTCTCTAGTCCTCTACTGCTTCTGCTCTGCTATTCAACTTCATCATAGTTAAGAGCAAATCCAGTAAATATTCAGAGCGACCGTGTAGGTCAGGCCTCATACCAGGTGATGGGACACCACAGGAAACAACATGGACAGTGTTTTTGCAATCAGTGAGCTGACACCAGCAGGAAAACTGATAAACCAGTATCAAGCATTTAACTGAAAGGTAATGTACCGAGTGGAGAGGAAGCCCGGGTGCCAAGAGGAGGGCCTAGCCTCGCTGAGTGGTCAGAGAGGCACGTAGGGAGGCTTGTGTGAAGAAGGAACAAGGGAGCAAGGTGGTCATTTCAGCCAGTTAGAAAGCTCACTCTGGCTGCCCTGGGGCACAGAGGGAACAAGACTTGTAGACGGGGAAACCTGTGGTCTGTTCTCCCCCATCTGGATCCTCAGTCCCCCTACTGACCGAGCTAAATGTACACTCTCCAGACTCATTTCTATCAGCCGGTGGCGGAGGGTCAGAAGTTCTAGAAGTTTGGAAAATGTCTCCAGGAGCAGCACAGGAGAATCTTGGCTTTGGTTCTCTCCTTTGTCTGCTGCAGACTTGAGTGCGAGCAGACCTATCTCTTCTAGGAGAAAGGGATCTCCCATTACTTTAGCTGAAAACAGCTGAAAGAAAACAAAGCACTTTTTAAAATCTAAAAAAAAGAAAGTTCACATATTAAGAAAAACAGTCTCGGTGGCACAGCCTCTGGATCCAGATTTCCTGGGTTCAAGTCCTAGCTCTGCTGCTTATAAACTGTGAAATTTTGCTATCTCTCATTTTCCTCATCTGTAAAGGGGGGATAAGAATAGTCACAGTAGCTAAGAGGAACAAGTAGATAAAAATTACCTAATAGGATTGTTGAGAGAGTTAAGTGAGTTAATACATACAAAAGTGCCTCGTACATAGTATTTGCTGTTATCATTATTATAAATATTTTAAGCCAAAATAAAGAATAGAAGAAGTCCCTGATATTTTCCAAGTATTTTAGAGGCCAATAATAATAATAATTTCCTATAAACTCTTCTAACTGCAGTTTCAAAATTTCAAAGTGTTTTCACATACATTTTTTTTTTTTAAAGATTTTATTTATTTATTTGACACAGAGAGAGACAGCGAGAGCAGGAACACAAGCAGGGGGAGGGGGAGAGGGAGAAGCAGGCTTCCCGCCGAGCAGGGAGCCCGATGTGGGACTCGATCCCAGTACCCTGGGATCATGACCTGAGCCGAAGGCAGACGCTTAACGACTGAGCCACCCAGGCGCCCATGTTTTCACATACATTACCTCATTTCTATCTTCACAAGATCCCCATGAAATAGGAATCACGGACGCCATGATTTCCATTTCATCGGTGAGAAATCTGAAGCAACACTGAAACTTTCCAAGGTCACACAGCAGTACCAAGAGTAAACTTATGCTTCCTAATTCCAAGTTCAGTAGTTTTACAGTATGCTAAACTGCCTTTATAGTGCTCCTCATGGAAGAGCCAGCCCTGGGCAATTTTTTAAATAACCTCATTGTTCTTTAACTCCTTCCTGCCATGGTCAGCTCCTCTGCTCTGACATCTCTGCTACCCTTTCACTTACTCCCAGCAAGGACTCAGTTTGGGGCCTCCCCCGCATCTGCCTTTCCTGGCTTGGCTCCCTGGGGGTGCACAAGCTCCCTTATCTGTCCACTTATCTACACAGGCTTGTTCTACTCGAAGATGCAATTTCTCGATCCTTGAAATCTTCCAAATGATAAAGAAATGTATTAAACTAATTTCTGCATGTCTTCTGAGGGCAATACCTGCCCCATTTTTCGGCCTAATACAAAAGGTTAATCTGAGGATTTATCATTTCTGGCTACAAATTTGAACACATTTTGAAAATAATAATTAAAACTGGCATGGCATCAATGGGAAACTAGACAAGTATCTCAAATATTCACTATGAGTTATAAGAGAATTTAAAGTACATTTAAAAGATCTGGTACCATAATACAATGTGAAAAGAATCTGCAATAAGTGGTAGTAAGACACATGACTGGTAATTTTGGAAAAAATTCAATTTTGAGCCACACTTCATACCCTCCTCTCTCTCTCTCTCTCTCTCTCTCTCTCTCCAGGTAGAATACTAAAGAAGTTAAATATTTTTAAAATGAAATCAAAGCCTTAAGAAATTATAAAAAAGTAAGACATAAAACATGTGGGAAAAGATTTGCTTTCTGGATTTAGGAAGATAGAAGAAATCACAAAGAAAAAGATCAACAGATTTTACTATATGAAAATAAAGTTAAAAAATAAAAAGACAAATTGGGAGAAATATTGCAGAAAATATGGTAGACAAAAGGGTTAAAGTTTTCATTTAAGAGAGCTCATGTAAGTGGATAGGAATGGCATTAGGATTCTAAGAGATAAAGGGAAAGAACAGAAGAGTCACAAAAAATACAGCTTGTAACAAGACATTCAGAAGGATATTTAGTCTCAACAAATACCAAGGAAATGAAAATTAACAGTGCAATGCCAACTGTTATATATAGAGATTTATTTATTTTTATATGAATATATATAGACATTATATACTTATACCTAATACTGTACAATGTAGTACAATTGGTACTCTTATAAATTATTGGTGGCATTTCAATATGCCAACTTGCATCCAAAGACTTAAATTTTGTTTCAGTAATTCCACTTCTAAGAATGTATTGAAAGGAATTGATTTAAAATATGGAAAAATCTGTAAGCATGGAGATGTACCTCATAACATTTTAAATAATAATGAAAAATTAGGAACTACTTGAATGTCCAACAATAGGGAAATAGTTGCATAAGTTATGATTCATCCCTTAAGGGAATTATACTCATAAAGGTTGAGTATAAAGACTAGTTAGCAATATGGAAAAATATATAATACAATGTTAACTGAGGAAAACAAGGGATAGGATATGAAGGATATGATTATAACTATGTAAAACATGCATTTGAAGAAGACTTGAATTCAGAAAAAATAATTATTGTGAATGCATTTGAGTGATTATATTTAGGGTAATTTTTTTTTTTTTTGCTTTCTTCTTTTGCTAAAATTCTTATTATTTTGATCAATTTAAAACTAATTAAAGTAAAATAAAATTTTAGTTTGGGCAAGAGGGAATAGGAGGCCAAGGCAGACACATGGAAGGGATATTTTTGGCAGCTGGGGCCCTTGAAAGTTTCTTCATCATTCAGCATGTACCCACACAGAGTAAGGTCAAATTGGAACCCCAGGCTCAACTGTGATAGCCTTAACAGAAAAAGGAAAGAATTAAAATCTAACTACAAATACCATGTAAATCATTAGGCCACAGTTTGAGCCATAGGACATTAGAGTTGAAATGGGCTTTAGAGACCATCAAGCTCACTTCCACCCCCCTCCCCTCAAATACACAAACATAATGTTAGAAAATAGGAAAGGGAAGCTCAGAGAGGCTAAGAGACCTGTTAGAGTCACACAGGAAATTAATGGCAGGGCTGAACTTGAGTCCAGGTCCCTGACTCCTCACTTAGCCCTCTCTCTCCTCTACCAGATCTCAGCTCAGGACAAAAAGAGGGAATTTCAGGAAGAGTCTCAGTGGAAATAAAATATATAACTTTAATTAAAAATGTATGTTGTTAAAATATATATATATTATATATATATATATTTATATGTAAAATAAGCCAAAAAACATTTCCCACATACCTATTACCCACATACCACATACCCATCTCCCTTCTAATTGTAGCAGTATCCTGATAAAGAGGAAACTTTAACCAAAAATGAAAAAAGAATTACATAAAAATGTTGGCAAGGCCTAGGACTATGATCTGTCTCTGGCCAAACAGGGGAGGAACAGAGCCAAACAGAAAAACAAAGCTAAGTAGTAACATCTGGGTGGAAACATTCTCTTTGCCAAGGAACGCCCCCTCCCCGACCCTCTTCAGAGAACCTACATCTCTCTGGAGCTGAGTGCTGTACCAGGACTCGGGCCTGGCTGGTGTGAGCCACACATCCAGGGCCAGCTGCAGCACACGTCTCTCCAGCAAGGTGAGGCTGCTGACGGATGTGGGTCTGCAGGTGTGGCGGGCCTCCCGGAGGAGGTACTCAAGGGATCGGGGGATGAGTGATGCGAGACCCAGGGAAGGGTGGAACTCCAGCAGATAAATGTTTTTCAAAGCTGGGCTTAAAAAGAGAATCCATCGATGACAATTTTACACAATGAAGAACTTAATCTATTTCAAAAGATATTTGAATTTTTCATTTTTTAAAACCAATAAAACAGCTGCTATAATCCAGGGCATTATAAAAAACTGGGAGTTCAAAGGGGCCAAAGAGGCCATCCAGACTCCACCAGATTATACAACATGCTCTTTGCTTTAACATGAACCCCTTTAAAATTGCAAGCTGTAAGAGTTTATTCCTAAAAGTCCAATCTGACTCTTAAACTGTATATGGCAAACCTGTAAGCATTCCAATAATCGGCATTTAGTCAAATATTTGAAAACAAAATAACTTAAAATTGAAAATATAACTTAAAAATAAAAATATTAAACAAATAATTTCCATGATTGGTTTCTATTTTTTCCCTGAGTCTTTATCCTTTTCCCAAAAAATGGTAATAAACAGAGACAAATTTTAAACTCTGTACACAACTGCTAGAATCATTCATGTTTGCCATAAGAATGTTCTATTTTATAAATGGATGAGACCAGAAATGAGAAAATGCTTGTCTGTCGGTATTCCTTTGAAAAGAGAGGATACAGCACAAGTCAAGGGCCTTTTTCTACCTACATCGAACTAAAGAGCATAAATAACTTCTTAAACCTAGGCAAATGGGTTTTTCTTTGTTCTAAATCTTAAAAAATACAACCCTAAGGTTAGAAAGGAATCTCATCAAGCAAATAACATTTGCTTTTGAGACTATTCTGTCAGGTCTTGGTATCCATATAATCCTAGCATGTTCTGCCAAAAAACCATTTCCTGAACAGTGGAGTCTGGCCATAGTCAGCCGCACACACACACAGCTGATGTCTCAAGCTTATTACAGTGAAGAAATCAGTCCTGAAAAAGGTCTGTGGAGAACATGCTGTCTTGTGCCTGGGACTCCCAGGGCTCTTTCTCAAGGGATAAGGTTAAATGTAAGCTAGGAAATCCCATGGCATCCTTCTGGTCCCCAAGAGGATTTCATAGCCAGTGTGGCAATGTCCTACTGAAAGTGTGCACTTGACAGGAGTGCAGGGCCATGCCTCTGTTGTTCACAACTGTGTCCTCACCTCCTAGCACAGTGCCTGGGGCCTGTAGCTGCTCAACAGATACTTGTTACATGTTGAAAGGAGCTGGACAATTTCTCTACCCATTTGAAGACAAGCCCGGGGCTTGTCACCCACTTGCCGATTCCCTCACTACCCTTAAAGGCTGGGAAGGAATGGGGGTTCAAACTACATGTCAAGGGGGTGACTTAAAGTATGAACCTTCTCTGAGTGATCTCGGGAAATTTAATTTGTTCCTTAAAGGGGTAGGGGTCACAAGGTGAGTCTGCAGAAACCTTTTTGGTGACACTTACTAGAATAAATAGATTTCTTCTTAAGAAACTTTTAAGCACATCCGAGTGTCATATACATTGGCTTATGTGGCACCTCTGATTAAACCCTCTGATGGCATTTTAAGAGTAACTGCTTTTTTTTTTTTTTAAATAGAACTTCTCAAGAGAATACAGATTCTACACCTGGTGGTATAACTTTAATTCTAGCCTCCTATTCTTTATTACTTACAAAGCAAATGGATACTGAGTATGCAAGAAAATCCCTTTTCTGGGGCTTTTATATCTACTTCACTCATCTTCCCAAATACTTGAGAGGTACTTTATAGAAGAGTATTTAAACTTAACACCATACCTTAACTTATCTAAAAGATTAAATGTAAAATGTCTGAAGACAATGCCACCATACCAGCTATTGTTGATGGAAACAAGTTGTTTGCAAATTATGTTAAGGGGAAGCCCAAAGTTACGGCTATCATCCGGACGGCCTTCCTGCCAAAGCCTCTGGACATACTCCTGCTGACACTCTATCTAAAAATGTAACATAAAAGTTAAACTTGCCCATGGATGTGAATTATGAGCCCTAGTATGAGAAGAACAGCAGTCCTTTGCGTCCCTTCATTATTTGACTAATTTTCACCCAGACACGGTTTTGAGGATCCACTTACACGAAGACACACTGTCTCTCAGTCTGAGCCAAGGGTCAGCCAATAAAAGCAAAGGCGACCAAATTCAGACAATCTTAAGAGGCATAGGAAAACTTCTTTCTGTCAAATAATGGACTACAAGGGAAAACTTCTAACCAGGTCTAAGGTAAATGCACTGCAACAGTCTATCTCCTGCTTACTTCCTGCCCCTGGCTTTTCCCCCAGAGGACATACACGTAATTTTTTCCTTCAGTGTCCTAAAAATAGCCACAAAAAAATAATAAACATAACTTTATACATTAATGGCTTGTAAAGGGGTATGTTTCATCCTCCTTTCAATACCAATAAACTCGATCATCTAGTGAAAATAAGTTTTCTATTTTTTGTGGACCATTAAATGTAATTAGGGTTGGAAACTTCCTTTAAAGACCATAGTTATGCTTGGAATTCAACGATGCAAATGAGCTTACAAATAAACATGCTGTACATGCTGCCCTAGAAAACCTGGATTCTGAATGTGCAGTGGAAGGAAAACACTTTTCAGTTCTGGCCTGGGTTTTCCATCGTCTTCTCGCATGTAATATTTTAAAATCCAATTGTACTTACGTGCTGATTGAGGATGCCCCTCACGAGCTGCAAGTGAAGCCTCAGACAGGTGCATTCATCTCGGTAGGCCTTAATGAAGTAAGGGTGGCTGAAATCAAACCTTGGGCGCCTGTGCATGATGTCAGTGATCACTTGTGCTAAGGCAAACCTCTCCTCAGGGTCCAGAACGTGCTGGTAGGCTTCAAAGTAACAGTCAAGAAGCTGCAAATAAGGTTTATAGTCAGGGAACAGCAGAGGCAGCCCTAGGCTCCAGCAAAGAGAGGTGAGCCTCCCATCCCCCATGCTTTGGAAAGCCCTGGAGCATCAGCAGGAGAGAGATGGCTCAGACCCTCCGGGTACCAGCCTGGTGCAGGCAGCTGCAGCACCAGGGCAACCCAAGGGTCATTAGTAAACCCACAGAGGTAGGGAGGGCAAAGGAAGGAACACTAGTTTTGCCTGTGTCCCCTCTTCCTCTGCTCTCCACAAATAAAAGGGGGGGTATATAATGAATAATATAACATCTAATAGTTATAAGCTCCAATGAGACAGTGCATGCAACGCCACTTCATCAAATATATTTATCTGCAACACCCTTCTCCGAAGACTCATTCTCCCGCTCCCATTTTACTCCATCACCAAACGTAGGCAGGTGGCTTCTTCCCCTCTTTTTTTTTTTTTAGTATTTTTATTTATTTGAGAGAGTGAATGACAGAAAGGGTAGGCAGGTGGCTTCCTTCCCTCTTTTTAAAAAAATATTTTTATTGGGGCACCTGGGTGGCTCAGTCATTAAGCGTCTGCCTTTGGCTCAGGTCATGATCCCAGGGTCCTGGGATGGAGCCCCGCATCAGGCTCCCTGCTCTGAGGGAAGCCTGCTTCTCCCTCTCCCACTCCCCCTGCTTGTGTTCCCTCTCTCGCTGTGTCTCTCTCTGTCAAATAAATAAAATCTTAAAAAATATATATTTTTATTTATTTGAGAGAGAGTGAGCGAGAGAGAGAGAGAGAAAGCGCACAAGCGGGGGGCAGGGGAGAGGCAGAAGGAGAGGGAGAAGCGGGCTCCCTGCTCAGCGGGTGCGGGACTAGATCCTAGGACCCCAGGATCATGACCTGAGCCAAAGGCAGACGCTTAACGACTGAGCCACCCTGGTGACCCTCCTCCCCTCTTCTTATCCTCAGCTCCATTTCTGACCCCTTTTCTTTAATAGTCTGCCCAAAATTCACCTAGAAATGATAGGGCGTGGTAGAATGGAAGGCTGAGGTGAAAGTTCCCTAACTACAAAGGCATTTATCCCAGACAGGACTCTATTAGGAAGGGCTTCATGTACAGAACTCTCAAAGGCATCGAGGGAGTTTCCCTTCTAGTGGAGGTCACAAACCTTTTCTAAAAACCAAAGAAAGCTCCCAGACACTAACCCAGTAACCATTGAAGAGGGTTCTCAGTGTGGGAATTCAGAGAAAGATGCTCTTTATTTTGCTTTTACATTTGTCTGTGACCTTAAGAATTTATGTTCTGTGTATAAATTCTGTTTTTGTGTAATTAGTCATGGTGCTAATCGGAAAAATGCTCTTCAGAGATCACTGGGCTGGAATCCCAAACAGGGACCTAAGGGCAAGATAAGCAGTTCTGAACAGTGTAACTACTGTTCAGGCCTGTCCCACATTATATCAAATACATTAAGACGTGCTCACATCCCAATCAAATTCTTTCCTGTAAAAATGTTAAATGATATTCATAATTTTGCTTTTCAAGTTATTTGGCTACAAGCGACACACTGAATTAGTGATTGGCTCTGATTTCTGGGCAGTATATACTCAGAGGTTCTTATGAAGTGAGAAGATCTGAGCTATAAATTTTCAAATGCAATGAGAGGTTTATAAGTGCTCAGTTACAATGTTTTTACATTTTACTGACATGTAATTAAGCATTTATTGATAACAATTTTGTATTTTCTTTTCATATTTTGGAGTAATGCATGTGTTTTTCCTCAAATTGCAAACATTTTCAGTGGTACCTGCAAAGCTCTTAGATCCTAAACAGAGTCCACATTGCCTGATGGATAAATCGGCTCTGACTGGAAGCTTCTGAGGCTTTATTCCATTCATTTCACAACAGAACAAATTCCTTTCCTCTGCGGATCTAATCCAACACATCCTCCCTCCAGGGTTTAGATCAAGAGGTCCCTCCCCAGTCCTCTTTCACTAGCTCCTCTTATGGAGGCTTTACTCTTCTGGAAGGTGTCACCTGTCATTGTAGCCTTATCACCAAAGTCACATAGGCTTGCCCAGTGTGTGCATTTAATTGGCAGCAAGGAGTGAATTGTTGAGGTTGCAATTTCTACCAACCTGACAGCCTAGCACACTCTGACGTGCATCAGAGAAAAGTGTGTCTTGTTTCCTTGGGTGTTGGTCTTCCCAGTGGCTTGAGGCCAGGAAATCAGCCCTCATCTTAACAAACTAAGAAATTTCCTAAAAGGAGATAAAAAGCCCCTCTCTTTGTGTGGAGTCCAGAGCTAAGAATGCAAAACCAGAAAGAACTGAGAAGGTGCAAGCACCACTTGAATACAGATGGCAACAGTGCAGGAGGCAAAGGGGAGTAAAGGACCCACGTGGCAGGAAAAGCCAGGAGTGTCTCCATCTTGCCATTCATGGCTTCCAAGGCTCCCAAATGAGGTAAACACTCGAAAATCAATAGCAGACCAGGAATCAAATGCTGCCTTATTAACAGATGTCCAGTATCTGGCCTTCAGTGCTAAAGCACAAGGACGGAGAGCCTCAGGCACTTTATTTAGCATCGGGTTTTGCAGGATACCCTTTGGGAAACATTGGTCTAAGGGACCTTAGGTCAACCTTAGCACAAAAAGGAAAACACTAAAGGAGGCCAAAAGCTCAGAACACACAACTCGCTCCACAGGTTAGAAACTCACATATCTCAGAGTGCGAAATGAAGGAAGGTGGAGATTGCCAGGCCTATGAAGCAAGCAGGGTGGTCTAAATTACCTGTTCCCTCCGCTGAGCTCTACTCTAGAATAGCATTCAATTATTAAATAGTAGAAGACAAAGCAGAAATGAAGGAGTGATGGGTAAGACCGGTGTCACTCAATAGCCTAGGGGGGGAGATTAGGAAAGAAACAATCACTTCCCTAAATCATTCTGGACTAACTTGAGCCTTTTTGACTGGGCCAAGGCAATCCCAGGAGCCGGTTTATAGAATTTGTATGCCTTGACCTGTTTTTTTTGTACAAAGAGTCCTATTGTTTGGCTATTTGGCAGAAGTTCATGGGGGGGGGGGTTCTTGCCAGTGATTTCAATCTGCTGATACCAGGTTGCAGAGGTTGGCACTAAAATGCCAAGCTCACTTGTGTTGTTCATAGGATTGCCCAATTTAACAAAAAACATACAGGTCATCTAGTACATTTGAATTTCTGATAAACAACAACTTTTTTAGTATAATTATGTCCCAGATATTGTCATATCTTACTTGGCAGCCCTAGCTTTTGAAAAGGTAAAAAGTGGCTCTCTTTTTACACTGAGAAGGCTTTCTCAAGCATTGGCCTCAACCTCCAGATGCTCTCAGATGGGCCCTTGCATAATTGTATTGTTAATTCTTTCCCAACAGGGGGTAAGACCATGATCTTTCCGCCTTACAAGTTCTATTTATGATCTGTTTGCTAACTGGCCCATTTCCATTTAAACTCTGGGCTGGTATTTGTCTAAGAAATCTTCCTAGCCTGTCAAATGTCACCTGTGTGTGTCAAGGGCCAACTCTCAGGCAAAATAATATGTGGTACACACTGACGGGAGGTCTCAAATATTGGAGAAAATAGAAAAAAAAAAAAGTCAAAATGAATAATCTCAAACCTGACTGTGTTTGTATTATTTTTACCTCAAACTTTTTATATTTCTGAGACTTAAGAAACTTAAAAAAATAGCATTTTAGGTCAAATGAAAGTGCAAAACAGAAAATCAATGCTAGGCACAATTTGTCAGATTTTTTTTTTTTTTTTTAGTGCTCCAAACACTAATTCAAACTACCCCAAAAATGTGTCCTCTGGTGGCTGTAGACAGAATTAGCATTTGGGGCACGTGTCACTTAGCGGCCTGTACAGCTCATGCCTGGCTTCTCTAAGAGTTCCTTAATCCACTTAAATTCACATCAGCTCTAGTTTTATGAACATTTATACATAATATGGTTACTTTAAGGATTTAAGACAACCCAGTGTGTTTGAACAATTCTTAACACTAGTGATTCCAATATATTTAACAATCAAAAACAGCTGAGCAAACTTGGCAGTAGAATCAGTACTGGGAGAAATCAATTGTACTCTAGATAAAAATATGGTTTATCCATTAAAAATAGGCTCTTTTGACAGAATTTCTGATTTAGAAGGCCACATTTTACAGTTTTGGCACAGATAGCTCAGTTTCTATAGAGAACTTATTGTCAGGGTGAGAAAGGAGGGAGACATATTCAATGATTTTTTTTTTTTAAGATTTTATTTATTTATTTGACAGAGAGAGACAGTGAGAGCAGGAACACAAGCAAGGGGAGTGGGAGAGGGAGAAGCAGGCTTCCCGCCGAGCAGGGAACCCGATGTGGGGCTCGATCCCAGGACCCTGGGATCATGACCTGAGCCGAAGGCAGATGCTTAACGACTGAGCCACCCAGGTGCCCCAATGATTTTTTTTTTTTAAGTTAAAATAATTTCATTTACCGTAGAAGAAACTAGTGGACAGCCCTGGTAGTTTAGCACAGAATGAAGCATGGGCCAAAGTGTAGAGAAATCGGTTTGTTTTTCAGTCCTCTTTGCCCTTCTATTCTTCTATTGCCATTGAGTCCTGTCCGGGGCCTCCATAGGAGGCCTAGGAGCACTGAAAGGGAAGGCGGGGAGAGAGAGTCCAGAAAAGGGGGGCTGTTTAAAACTCATGTCTGGACCAACAAACTTGTTGAGTTTAGGGATTCTGTCTTATTTACCTTTAATGTAGCCTTTTCAATTATTACACTCTGAGTCTAGATCTCTCACTTAGTTGATCAAAGTAAGTTTCTAATTGGCAGATCAAGGTTGCAGATGCAAACTCTGTAAAGGCCAGTTCCCCTTGAAAAGAGGAACAGTATTCAAAGCCCAAGGCTCCCACCCTTTAAGCCCAGCCAGGTGTCTTCAAACATTGGGTGACCTACATCTCAATGAGTAATAGACCAGAAAGTCGACGAAATGGTAAACCATCTAATCTACTAGAAAAACAGTTCAAAGAAAACATTTCCACTTCCCCATCTTCTGACCACATCATAGTGCGCTGTAAGGTGGCTTCCACCCCCATACCTCTTCTGAGAGTCCTATGAACCTGGCAATGACCCTGGTGACTGACCCCACTGCCTGGTGTTTAGGCGTCATCTTTCTTGATGTTTTGCTGCACTCCACACTAACTATCCTCTCCTAATTAAAATGTTTTTTTTTCCCCCCTAGTGGCTTTCATCACACTATTTCTTCCTTTTTTCTCCAGTTTCTTTGGCGTCCTCTTACTCCTCTCGTGGATTCTTGTTCTAGGACCTTCCCCTACAATTTAAGTGTTACCCAGGGCTGCATCTCAGACATCTCCGGCTTTTCCTAGTCATTTGATTCATTACTGTGGTTCAATGTTCACTCTCAGCTCATACCTGCTCCTGACCTTCAAACCTCCAGCTCCCACAAAACAGTCACACCTGTTTTAGCAAGCTCTCCTCACATGCTTGTTGCCACAGACTCAGCACTATCTTCCCCTCTAAAGTGCCCCTCCTCCTGCATTCCATTTCAGTTAGTAGCCTCCTCCCTGACCCTGAGAAAGTCATTTTTAATTCCTTACTCTCTCACCCCACCATCCAGTCTTCAAATCCTGCCATGTCCACTTCTACAAAGACTTCTCGAGTTTACCCCTCCCTCCTGTTCTGACTCTTCCATCCTTGGTGTAGGTCCCCTCCTACCTCTCCGGGTCACTGTTGCAATAAGGGCACTTGTTCTCTGCAGGAGCTCTATCCAATCCATTCTCCACACTAATACCCGAGCAGCTGTTGAAAACAGAGCCATGATCGTATTTCTCCCTTCCTGAAACTCACCAGTGGCTCTTCTTTGCTTATAAAATACACTGTAAATGTAGCATGGATTAGCAGGCCTTTCACAGCTGCACCCAAACACATAGTCAGCTCGTTTCTCATCATGCCTTTAGCGCCTAGTCATACTAGCCTTCTTGTTCCCCAAACTCGCCATCCCCATTTTATACCTCCCTGACATCGCTAATGCAGTTTCCTCCACTTAAGAATTTTTTCCTTCTCTGACCGACAACATCTTCCTCATCTCTTAGGAACAGGATTAAATATCTACTCCTCTGAGAAGATTTGCCAACATTGCCTTTACTCCGATAGCCCCCCACAGGGCAAATCGCTCCCTCCACTGTGGTCTCCGGGGATCTTGCATGTGCCTCAGTTGTAAGCTGTTAGTCACTGGGTTGTAATTTTTACTTAAGAGATTGGATCAACTTCTATAGACTAGAAATTCCTTAAAGACAGATTATCTTCTCTTATTTATCCATAGGTTCCTAATGTCTGGAATAGTACCTGGTGCAGAGTAGATACTTAATGTTTGATGAATAAACTCCTAACAATTGGTGATCATCAGAGGGGTTCATAATCCATGCCAAGGACACAAATGAAGAGCAGTGTTTCATTTATTACTAGGATATAAGCCATTGATGATATGATGATGAATTTAGCAAACTTCTGTTTCATTGCTGTAAACTTACCCTCAGAACTTGCTGCACTGAGCACATACCTTGCCCAACTGCTTGCCCCCCGTGTGGTGTATTTCTAAAGACTCTAATAAGGTCAGTTTGTGTTTCACAGAGTGAGGTTTGTCCCTGACAGGACAATGAATGTGAATGGAACCATCACGCATTCTCACTAAACACACACATAAAAGCCTAAATTATACAGCCCTCTAACAAATTATGCCTGTAAGATAAAGAAGTATCCTTCCCATTTTATTTCTTATTAAAAGGAACCACAGTAAAGAAAATAAAATGTATTATTCACATCCTTACAACTAGCTGAGACGATTTAAATAAAATAATTATTTACTTTATTAGGAGCCTAATAGACCCCTAAAAGACCCACTGAGTTTTTTCGTTTTTGTTTTTTCAATACTGGGTTTTGTAAGAATGTTTAACAGATGTTTTGTTTTCTAGGGAAAAATACCTGACGCTTGTTTTCTAGAAGGGCTGCTTCCCAAGTCCACATGTCATACAGCACAGCAAATCTATCCACACTTGCATGGGCCCATCCCCAGTCCTGGCCAGTATTTGACTCGTTGCCCTCTTTGTGATCTGGGAGAGAAGGGGATGAGAATGACCAGAGACAGGCCTTTCCACAAAGCTATTCTTATTAGAAAAGCAGCCCTTCAACTGTCAGCTCCATCTCAGAATGAAAACACTGATACAGTCACAGGGATTCCTAAGAATCAGCTGGAGAGCCATTGGCAAAGACTGGGACATACTTGTTGACTTCTAAGTCAGTAGAGGTTTTTGTTTTTACTCTTTAATTTTAGTTTTAAAGACTAATTTTAGAAATGTAACCAAAATTCAGTTAATACGAAATCTTCACTAAAATGTCCTCAGACCTATAATTTAAAGGCAAAACATACATTTCTCCTTCTCTAAAAACAGGTCCTCGGTGGTTTAACAATAAACCTAGTTTAACCTGCTATTTCAAATGATGCTAGCCAAGGAAAAACTCTTTAGAGAAGTTTCTAAGATATTCCTTAATTATGTTAATTATTAACTGAAATCAACAAAGGTAATCATTGTTATTATTCTGCTAAAATATTTTCCCACTACATTAATGTTAACTTTCAGTATCAGCATGATTATTGCTTTTCATTTTTGAGTGGTCTATTTCAGAACGAAATATCAAAAAAGAAGGAAATTTTCAGGGACTGAACTTTGAGTTCAGGAATTATCACACATATGATGGGTACTGAACAAGAGAAAGACTTTGATCAGGAATTTCTCTAGCAGCAGTTGGGAAATCATTTCACAATGGATGACTACATACTTCCTAGCTCAGTTGAAGGATGCTGTGTGGCTAATGACTACTGACTGTTTCAATCAAATTAAATTCTTAGCAGCTTGAAATGGTTGCATGGGATTACAAATGAATATCAATAGAAACGATGCATTAGTATGTAGAATGACCAGTAAAGATAAAAGCCAAAAGCCGAAATTAAATGCTGTAGAATGTTGGATGCCATCACTGCATCCCATGATTCAGACACCCAGTGGTCTGTGGCAAAGAGGAGTTCAAGCCAACGTTAAGTTAATTCTGCCTGGCTCAGAAAGGTTAATTGTCAAACGTTCTTTGAGCAGTATTTTATATCAATATGAAAATGAATGATTCTTCATTACCATCTACATAATTACAAAATAGCACAAACCCTTGCTAAATTTCCCTTTAGGTGTTTCAATATCTCTAGAAATTTTAAGCTCTTTCCAAATATAATGCTGGTGTTGTCACATTATTCCAAAAGGATTATTCTTTCCTCACCTATTTCTAAAATTGGATACATTTGAGTGGTGCCAAAAGGAAGTAGAGAATACATATTATAGGTTATTTGATTACCCTGAGTAATGATTTCTCCCTTTGGTGCTTATCTGGCATTTTTCTACCCAGAACTTCTTGCGTCCTGGTGGTTTTTTGTCAGGAACCCAGGGATGTGTCTGCTTCTAACTGCTGTCTGCCCAAGGTCAATCACTTTTTTTTTGTCACTTAGGGGAAAAAAATCATTACCTTCACTTGCTTACTTTGCTTCCCTCAGGGCCCAGCATGACACCACTTGCACCCAGTGAGTAATGCAGAAATGCCACTGAGGAACGAGTAGAGTCTAAACAACAGTAAGAATTATAATCAAGCTTTGAAAGAATAGTTACAGTCTCCAACAAGAAGAGGGACTTGAGCTGGAAACAGAACCGTATCTTTTCTAAAGAAGGTATATATTGCGGAGGTGTATGTGCTTACTGAATTTTCACATACTCTTGGATATGCATTTATATTTTGAGGTGGAAGGTGTTAAATGGAGCCCTTAGTGTTTATTGTTTGTTTGGCTGGCTGACTTCTGACCTTTTCCTTTCTCAATGTAATGGCTGGCCACAAGCAGCAGTTCTGCCTCTAGCTCCTTCAGATCACTCAAGGCTTCATCATACATGATATGTACTCCACGCTGGTCCTGCGTGTAGATGCAAGCAGCGTCCATGCTGTAGTAGTCATCCTGGTTCTCCACTTCCGAGAACTCCATGAACTGGACACTGTGGACCTGGGGAAAAGAAAGCCGAACCCAGAAGTTACCGGAGAAGGGAGAGCTATATTTTGCCAGCCCAAATGGCAGGCTTCTGCTCTCATGCAATGGGCTGTCAGCATGGAGCTGTACCTGCCGCATGTATAAAGCGCTGCATGTAAAGAAGGAGATATTAGCAAAGAGTGTTGGCAGGGAAAGGTGGTGAGATAGACAAGTAGCTGATGAAGTTCTTTCTGATTAATTCAGGGCTACCTGGAAAAAGGCAGGCAATAGAGCTGAGTGTTATAGGTGTTCTCTGAAGTCAGAGTGCCTCTGTCTCAGGCAAGTCACTCAGCTACTCTTAGCCTCTGTTTCCCCATCCTTAACATGGGGACAGTGGAGATACCACAAAGGTTGTTAAAGGGAGTATGTGACACTGTGCTGATGAAGCACTTGAGATCTATAAACATTAACTGTTGAAGATTTTTTATTTTAATTATACAAATACTTTAAGAATACATTAATACAGTCTCATGTCTTAGTAATATACTGAATTGAATAGCATCCCCCCAAAATTCATGTCCACCTGAAACCTGTGAATGTGACCAGATATGGAAATGGAGTCTTTGCAGATATATATAGGTTAAGATGAGGTCATACTGGATTAGGGAGGCCCTAATCCAATGACTGATGTTCTTATAGAAAGAGGAAAATGTGGAGATAGATACATGGGGGAGAAGGCCATGTGAGGACGGAGACTGAGATGGGAGTGAGGCATCTACAAGCCAAGGAATGCCACATAACACCCAGGATTATTAGCAAGGACCAGATGCTAGGAGAGACAAGGAAGGAACTTCTCCTGGAGACTTCAGAGGGAGCATGGCCCTGCTGACACCTTGATTTTGGGCTTGTGACAACTAGAACTATGACAGAATAAAGTTCTCTGCCAGTTGTTATGAGCCTGTCACTTTGTGGTGTTTTGATATGACAGCTCTAGAAAACGAATGTAAGTAATCTGGGTATTCCAATCACACTTTTTCTTAAATGACTGAGGAATTATTGCATCCTGAGAATCATTATTCTAATAATAATTCTCATAATTCCAAACTTCACCCTTGCCAAGACTCTGAATTCACCCCCATCCCACGTCTAGCCTTCACTCTGTCTCAGCAGAAGCCCCCCACCACTTGTCCACCCCCGCCCCCATAAAGCCACTGCACCCACGCCTCTCTCCTCCTGCTTCCTCCTGTACTATAGGGAATGACTCTGCTCTCCTTCTCTGTGGCCATTCCATCCCACCTCTGAAGCATCCCTTCTCCTTCTTGGATACCCAATTCCTCTCAACCAGCTATTTCTCAACTGACACTGAAACATGCTCACATCCCTCTTGCCCCTCCCCAGGTCCCATCTTTGGTCTCTCCTCCTCCTTATGATCCAACTCCCAAGACGGGATCTGCATTCACTGTCCCCGTTTCCTCACCTCCTACTCCTCACTCATTCCCATCCAGCTCCTATCTCCATCAAAACAAACCACTTTCACTAAGAAAAACAGTGATCTTTTCTCCACATCCAGCAGACTTTCTTTAGTCATCTTATGTAATGTCTCAGGAGCATGTGACACAGTTTTGCTCTCCCTGCTTCTTGACTCACTCACTTCCCTGGCCTGCTGGGACTCCACATTCTCCTTGCTCTCACCAGCTTTCCAGCCATCCCTGAGGTGTATTTTTCTCTGTCAGGTCATTAAATAGTAGACACACTTAAGCCCCAGTCTTAGGGCCTCATCTTTTCCTCTTATACTCCTTCCTTAGGAGGTAGTACACTTTCACAGCTGAGATTAGGGACCATTTACTCCCTAATTGATAACTGTAATCCAGACCTCCTAGAGCTCTAGACCCACATATCCAATGACCTATTTGCCATCTGTTCCTGGACATCTCAAAGACCCCTCAAATTTAACATGATCAAATCATGTGGTCTTCTCCCACAAACCTAGGCCATCTCCAACTTCCCCATTTTAGTAAATATCACCACCACAAAGCCACTTCCTCTTGCATGAATCATTCCTGACACCTACTGCCTCACCCTACATGTCCAGTCTATCACTAACTCCTGTCAATTTGACTTCCTATCTCTCAAATCCATCACTTCTCTCCATCTCCACCACCCACCATCCTAGTCCAAGCTGTTACTGGCTTTCACTAGAACAAATCTAGGAGTTTCTAGGTGTACTTTTCAAGGCTGAGCACAATCTGGCCCCTGCCAACCTCTTGTACCTCATTTCCTTCCACTGTCTCCATACGTCCATCCTGATGGACCTGGGCCTGGCCCTCTTCTGAATGGGCAGAGCTCTTCATGCCTCTGGGCCTCATACATACTGGCCCTTCCACCCCTCATCTCCTCTTTCCTTGGTAAGTACCTACCCTATCCGAGAGTCCATTCTAATAACACCTCTCTGGAAGCCTTCCTTACAACTCCATGCAGAGCTGAGTGCTTCTCCCCATGACTTGTCTAACTCCATTATAGCACTCAGCTCATGGTCATACTAGACTGTTGGCTCATCTACTCCCACAGGCTGTGAGCCTGTCATTCATTCATCTCTTCATTCACTCATTCATTCCACAAATGTTCTGATCAGTGAATTTACTAGCACTGTTCTAGGCACTAAGGATACAGCAGTAAACAAAATTGGCACAAATCCCTGCCATCATGGAACTCTTTAGTGGAAAGAGACAGACATTAAATATGTCAGATGATTTGGCACTTCCTAGTGCCTTGCTGTTGGGTGGGGCCTAGCTGAAATGCCTTCTTTCCTATTGCAGCCTCCAGGGTTGCTGTTAGAGTCCTCTCTGCCTGTGTCCTACTCTCAAGTGGACACTGAACTTTTCTAAAAAGCCATATCCCTAAGAAACCCCCACCTGTTACTCCATCATGTTAACTGATTCCAGGTGCTAAGAAGAAGGTGTCTTGGGAGACAGGATAACCAAGGCAGAAAAAACTCTCAGCAGAACCTTAACCTCACCTTGTGCTCGGTGGCTGTCCCATGGACATAGTGGTGAGCTCCTATGCCTTGCAAGGTGCCCAAGCCTCCTGTGGCCCTATTTACCCAGGAACTATCTTCTATGGTAGGGACCAGACTTCCTGCAACCAAGGTAAGGCCTGAAGTGTTGATTGTCAGTGTTTGCTCAACAGATCTGAAGTAGTTCAGAATTCCTAGACAGGTGCGCTGAAACAGAGAAAGACCAGGTCAGGACCCTGCCCTTTGCTCGCCCCACACAACAGAATAAAACTGAATGGGGCCCTGGAAGTTGGCAAGTCAACTCCACTGCTGAGAGAGAAACACACCACCCCCCAGAAAGGGCTGATTTTGTGGAAAAATCAGAACAAAGAACAAAGTGTAAAAATGTGTTGCTACTGGAATAGCAGGAAAGCCACCTTGGTAGACAACCAAACATTCCAGATGCCTGAAGCCAGTGTGCCATGCCATCCACATACCTGCAGCTCCCTGATTCGCAGGTGGCGCAGATACAGAAAGGACAAGTAGGTCCCTCTCATCAGGACAGGATCCCTATCACTGGGCCCAGTCCCACCATCCAAACCCAGCAGTTGTAGGGCCATTGCATAGCTGTACCTTTAGCGGACAGGAAAAACAGAATGAATGCTTTTCACCTCAAAGTGGTTCGGAAAATTCATATACACCAAACTGAAGTCATTTTATTTAACTTAAGGGAGTTTCACCAGTAGCTACTTTTTAAAAATGCATTAGATGAAAAATAATTACTCCATACGTATAAATATAAAAAGAAATTTCTCTTAGCAATCGCTCTTGTGAAAAACCCAGTCCTAGGGTGAAACGTTAATTCAGTTGTCTGACCTGCTTTAACAGTCTTGCTTTTATTTCAGCTTCAAATATTTTTGAGTTAACATGTAACCCACCTATTAATCAGTCACTCAATTTTCCCCACTGGGTTTAATCCATTTCCTTGAGTCCGCAATAACATGATTTAATTTTACCCTTTCTCTTTTTTCTGCTTGATAGGCTCATCAGCATGTTGGCAGCAACTTATTTGTGCTAGGTAATTTTCATTTTGTTCCATTGAAAGGTCATCTTCCTTCATATTTTCATTCTATCAAAAAAGTAGCATTAGTTGAATTACATAAACATTTGCAATATCATTAACAAAGTCACAGTTGGGTCACCACAAAATTAAATCCCATGATCCAAGGCATCTTTAGATGAACAAGCAGATGAGCATCTGGATCCATTGCAATGTGTCATATGAAAATCTGGATTTCTAAAATAAATTAGAGGCTACTCTTTTTATTATTATTTAGTCTTTGTTTTACAAAACTATTCACAGCTTTTATTTATTTATTTTTTTTAATTTTGTTTATTTATTTGAGAGTGACAGAGAGAGAGAACGAGTGTTGGGGAGGGGCAGAGGGAGAGAGAGAGAAGCAGACATCAGGAAGCCTGATGCGGGGCTTGATCCCAGGACCTGGAGATCATGACCCGAGCTGAAGGCAGATGCTTAACCGACTGAGCCACCCAGATGGCCCTATTCACAGCTTTTAAATACCACCCTCCCACACACACACCTTTTACATGATTCACTTATGAAAAGTTGATACACACATTTGTAGATGTTTGAAACCTTGAATGTCTCTAATCTAGCCTTGTTCCAGGCTGAGAGAGATCAGTGGATTAAATGCCTCTTTCTACTTTTTAGCTATATGATCTAATTATTTAAAGTCTTGATCCTGTTTTCATACTTATAAAATGCCATAATAATAGAAAATAAATTGCTGTGAGAATTAGCACATAGTGATTGGCACCTCACAGGTGCCCAAAACATGCTAGTTCCCTGCCTGCCCATGGACTGCAGGAGTCAGTCAGCCCTGCAGGATCTATCACAGAATTTGTGGTTTATGTTTATTTCTACGGGCATTTTTCCTGTTGTCAATCAGGATGAGGTCACACACGCAGAGTTCTAGGAAAAACTTGAAGAAGGTGATATTGATGAATGAGCCTGCCCCTTGTCCTCTGGCAGCCCCTTTCCTAGCTGCCCTCTTTGCCTGTCCCTGGGCATACACCCCATTCTCATAAGAAACGCTCTTTCATAGTGGTGCCCATACCCACAAAAACACTGAGTGGCAATGAGTTAGCTTGGAACCCCACTCTTTGGGTTACTTATATTCTAATAGTTCTTGGAATTCCCAAAAGTCCTTCTGGCAAAAACTGCTGGTTGTTCCCCAAGATCCATTTTCCTCTCTTCCTATAGTAATTAAATATTTATTGTGGCACATGGCCACCCAGATGGAGATGACATTTCCAAGCCTCTTTTGCAGGTAGGTGTAGATATGTGACTAAGTTCTGGTCAGTGGAATGAAAGTGAAAATGCCATGTGGCAGCTTCTGGGAATTTCCCTGAAGTGGCAGCTTCTCACCCCCATTGTCCATCCTACTGCTTAGGACATGAATGTAACCGCTGGAGCACCATCTCAGACCAGGTGTTGATCTCGGGTATGGAGGCTGCATCTGTTGGAACTCCAGGTAGAAGGAGCATGGGTCCCTGAAGACTCCATGGAACAGAGTCATCACACTAGCTCTGTACTTCCTCCCCCTGGATCTTAATATGAGGGAGAGAGAAAGAAATTCCCATCTCCTTTAATCCTCTGCTATTTTGTGTTTAATTATGACCAACAGCCAAATATAATTTTAACTAATACACTACCAAAGACTCTAAAGATACACTATTGGTCTTTATGACAAGCAGTAGAAAAGAAAATTGGGGGCAGGGATATTAGAAAGAGTGGGTGAGAGAGAAAGTTGTCTAATTGAGTATCGTGAAATGGCTTCCCATTCTGCCTGGGATTAGAGTTAGTTCCTGTTTGTTCTGGGTAAGTGGGCACATCAGTGTATTTCCGTGTAAACATCCCACAACCCTAGGACTGGGAAAGACCCTGGGAGGTGACATGAGGCACTCCTGTTCTTTCATACAGAAATGCAAGATCATCATCCCCAAATTAAGAGAATCTCAGATACTTGTAGAAAATCTGTAGGAAAGCATTTACTCTATGAGGGAAGTTGAATCTTGGCAGTTTCTATGTGGCCTAGAATTTTGGGTGAGAGGGGCTCTCCCGAAGACTTCTGCCTCCCAGGTGTCTGGTGCCCGTACGTTGCAGTTCAGCCTTGCCTGGTGTGACTCCAGAGGGCAGGCTCAGAACCACAGCCTTTCTCTGATGGGATCGTGACTTTTCCAGGTGCTTCTAAAATTACCCAGAATTACAGAGGGAGGAAGAGAAAGTGACATCAAGTTACGGTGAAAGACACTATGAATAGGTATGACTGAGCAAGCCACAGAAGTAGTGCTGGACCCGTAGGTGGCTGGGAAGAAAGGAGGGGGGCACAACCGGGTTGGGTGAGTAGAGGGAGAGAGCCCAGCACCCTCTGGAAAAAGAGAACCAGCCACAGCCCACAAACGTCAGCTGCTTAGGAAACACCCGAAGTGCACGAGGGTCCTCCCCTAAGAGGACTGGACATGGTGCAGGTAAGCAGTGGGGCCGACCAGAAGGCAGAATGTCAACACCACCTGCGTTTGTTCCGTCTTCCTGGGTAGGTAAATCCTTTGACATTTACTCTACCTGGTAGCTGGGTCTTTGCCAGCATGGCCTGGCCAGTATTCTGACAGTTTCGAGATCTCCACTGGTTGCAAATCTCATTTTCTTCTGGGAAACTGGCAGGGGCAGTGGATTGGGAGGTGGAGTGGCGGCAGGGGGGGGGGGGAATAATCAGAGGGAAACTAAGTCTATAATGTATTTCCCACCTCCTAAATGTCCCCACAGCGTATTTGTGTATATCCACAGAATAAAAAGACTAGAAGGATAGAAACCATATGTTAAATATTATGGTTATATTTGGGTGGTAAAATTACAGCTGATTTTTATTTTCTTCCTTGAGCTTTTCTACATTTCCCAAATTTTGTATGATAAATACATGTCATTATTGTCAACAGAAAATGTTTGTGTTTTAAATGTTCTATTGAATTTGATGAGGGAAACCAGAAAAGAAGTGTTTTCTGTTCCCCTGAACTTCTTGCACATTGGAACTACTCTATACAACAGCATTTTTGTGAGGGCACACCATGTCCTCATTCTGTCTCTGGAAATGGAGGGGAGCAGTTAACGCTGATCGGGGAAAACAACAGCTGTCCCCTTCTCCTCTCCTCCGTGTGGCCAGTGAGAAGAAGCAAAAGAAGAGGCAAAGGATATAGTGTTTTCTGCCACTGCAGCACTCCATAAAGTTAAAGAACAGTGACCAATTTAAACCATATCTTCAGAAATATGATGGTCAATAGTAGCACTTAATGTCTGTACATAAACAGCTATTTTAATAAACAGGTGTTTTCTTGGGGAATGGCATTGGGTACGAGTAACTTGATATAATACAAGTTTGGGAGGTTTGGGAGGATCCACACAGGGCTGGCTGGTCTATTCCTTCTGATTAGGACTATAGTTAAATTATTTTTAAGTTTTTCCAAAAGGATATCCGAAAGAAAAAAAAATGCAGTCTTTCTGGACCAGAATGCTCTCTTTCTAGTTATAAATTATCTTCAATTAACAATGATAAGAAAATCTGATATTTTTTCTTTACCCCTAAACCCAGATCTTTAAGTGAATCTGGAAAAAGAATTGTGTATAAAGAAAAGATAGCCAGCCTTACATGCCAATGGTAAATAAAGGGCCAATTCAAACTGTGATAGAAACATTACAAACATTATCAATGTTCAGACAAATATATTCAATGTTAAAATGTGGGGAAGCAGGTTCTCTCATAAGTTTCTGGTTAGGGGAAAAAATGGTATACCACTTCAGCAGGATCTATGGAAAATTTTGAATGTGCATGTCAGTGACCCAGAAAATCCACTTCTAAATATCTACTCTAAAGAAACACATGTGTGCACAAGGAGGCATGTACAAGAAAGTTCAGTAGGAATGCTTTCTAATGGGGTAAAAAAAAAATGGCAACAAGTATCCACAGGGAGGTGTCTGTGTGATCTGTAGTATATAATAAAATATAATGCAGGCATTAAAAAGAACAACAGAGACAGATCTCTAAGACATATTGTTGAGTGAAAAAAGCAAGTTAACAAAGATATCCATAGAGTATGACAGATAATTTATATAGAAAACTAAAACACAAAATTATACCATATATATATAGAGAGAGAGAGAGAGACATATGTTTGAATGTAATGTATTGAACAGGCTGAAGCAGTAACAGTGTTTACCTCTGAGGAAGTGGAATGGGGACCAGTATTAGAATTCCCATTAGTTAAAGTTAAAGCATTAACTTTTCAGTGATGTTTCAATTTTTCACAAGGAGAAGAGGTTTATGTATTATTTCTGTAGTTTAAAAACTGATTTCTAACAACTTCTTAAGGAGAAAAATGGTAACTTCACAGTGCAAAAACCTAGCAAACACCACTAGCTTAACCACATATTAAGCTTAACATCCCCAGTAATACATCAGGTTGATAGCATCTGGCCCAGATATGATGTAATAAGAAGGGCACTTCACCTCTGGTGTGTCCTTCCTCTAAACCTATAACCCCAGTTATAACCATGAGAAAAACATCAGACAAATTCAAGTTAGGGAATGTTCTACAGGTTGCCTGGCCAGTACTCCCAAAGACTGTCAAGGAAAGCCTGAGAAGCTGGCCCAGACCTGAGGCGCCTGGGAAACATGACAATCAAAGTCACTGTGGTACCCTGGAGCACAAAGACAAACCAGTGAATTCCAAATATAGTCCAGTTTAGATACCAGTAATGTACCAAGGCTGGTTCCTTTGTTGTGACAAAGTAATATAAGATGTTAATAATAGGAGAAACCTGACAGGGGATTCCTGGGAATTCTTTGTACTATCTTTGTAACTTTTCTGTAAATCTAAAACTACTCTGAAATAAAACATTTATTTTCTAAAAAAAAACCTCCCTAAAGAAAGGCTACCGGTGAATAGTATTCACTGAAAACTGATCAGAAACTGTCCTGAAGTCGTGCTATATTCTTTCCAAGCTGTCAAAACAGGCAATCCTATGAGGTTTGCTTTCCTTCATGCAGAAGGCCCTTAAGAAAGTTATTTTTCATGGGGTATGGATTGTCCCTTGCCAACTTCAGAATCAGAATGCTGACCAGCGTATAGATGCTAAAATTCATACTTGACTGCTACATGCTTGCAAAATAGTCACAGAGCTTTAAAATTCATACCTACATCCTGTGACTCCTCCCATCTGCCACCTTTAACTTCATCCTAATCTCCTCTGACTGGTATTCAACATTCAGAATGGCATTCAGATACTGTATAAAGTGCCTCTTGACCAGAGCAGAAATACGTAAGGAGGTCACAAAGTAACGCCCACAGGAAAATGTGAGGGAAAGTAGAAAACCATTGATGGTTGCCTCACGATTTTCTTTCTCAAACGCCGTGCTATTTTCTGTTCCCCACTTGGAAAGCTCTTCTCTAGCATGGCTGACTCCTTCTCATTCATCAAATGTCAGCTCAGATGCTCCCAACTCTGAAAGAGCTTGGTCCATCTATCAGAGGGTGCTCCTCTCGACCCCACTGCCCCCTCTTCCTGTGGTTTTCCTCCTGGCACCCACAAGTTAGAGATGTAGATTAACTCTTTTGTCCACCTGTTTATTGCCTGTTTTGTTCGCTGAGCAGCACAGTTCCTGGCACAAAGGCAGCATCCATGTAATAATCACTGAATGAATGAACGAATGAACAGGAAACTTGCATGACACTAATATGTAGGGTAGGTTGTGTGTGCTATATGTCTCCCCTCAGGCTCCACCTCTGAAATCCATAGGTATTCTCAGTCTCCTTAGGGTCTATTTACCATAAATCAACTTGAAAATAGGTGCTCACATTTTTCTCCTTTTGGTCATTTCCAAGAACAACATTTACAAGTCAGTAAATAGCCAGAGGAAATGGTTGTCTTTTCTTTTCCCCTCCAATTTAACACTGGGCAACTGCATTCAAACTTTGGTCAAAGCAGAGGCTGCATATCATCATACCCTGACTTTCTACCTCATGTGCAAATGGAGGGAAGCAGTAACAGAGAACGGCAGGAAATGTTAGTTCTCTCCACGGTGTAGCTGGGCTCCTTCTTCACATTGTGGCTCTTAGTGTTTTCTGCCTTTCAACAGAAAACTGAGCCATCATCTCCTGCTCTTGCCCTGCACTTTCTGCTTTTCCCTGGTAGCCTCCTTTGTCCCCTAAGTCCCCATGGGCACTGCTACAATTCTGGCCTGCTGGTCCCGCCAGACCCTAGACCATCACTTCTCCATGACTTCAAACACGAAGCTCTTCACCTCTGACTCCTTCTTCCATTGCCTCCTACCTCTCCCTTACTCATATTCACCTCTTTTCACCCTCATCTAGCCCCCCCCCAGGAATTTAATTGCCCTTATTCTCTCAGTCAAGGAGGAAAACAGACTTGTGGTGGCCCTCAAATGTTAAACCCAGAATCTCAGGTAAAGAGGGTTATATCAGGATCAAGAGCCAGACTGTCCAGGATCTTAGGAGAAGAGGTCTTATTTAGGGATAAGGGCTGACTCTGTCTTTGACCTCCCTTCTTTCCTACTCCCTACCTCCTTCCCCTTAAGGTTGATTCAAGAAGCGAAAGAACTGGATGTTTTTAAATGTCCCCTTGTGAAATACAAATCAAAACCACAATGAGATACCACCTCACACCAGTCAGAATGGCTAAAATCAACAAGTCAGGAAACGACAGATGTTGGCAAGGATGTGGAGAAAGGAGAACCCTCTTACACTGTTGGCGGGAACGCAAGCTAGTACAGCCATTCTGGAAAACAGTGTGGAGGTTCCTCAAAATGTTGAAGATAGAAGTACCCTATGACCAAGCAATCACACTACTGGGTATTTACCCCAAAGATACAAATGTAGTGATCCGAGGAAGCACCTGCACCCCAATGTTTATAAGAGCAATGTCCACAATAGCCAAACTATGGAAAGAACCCAGATGTCTATCAACAGCTGAATGGATAAAGAAGATGTGGTATACATATACAACACAATATTACACAGCCATCAAAAAATGAAATTTTGCCATTTGCAATGACATGGATAGAACTAGAGGGTATTATGGTAAGTGAAATAAGTCAGTCAGAGAAAGATAATTATACGATCTCAGTGATATGTGGAATTTAAGAAACAAAACAGAGGATCATAGGGGAAGAGAGGAAAGAATATTTCCTTTTATAGTTTTACTTTATTCTTTGAAGATGGTTTCCTTTATTAATTCATGAACTTCTTTTTTTTTTTTAAAGATTTTATTTTTTATTTATTTATTTGAGAGAGAGAGAATGAGAGAGAACACATGAGAGGGGATAGGGTCAGAGGGCAAAGCAGACTCCCTGCCGAGCAGGGAGCCTGATGCGGGACTCGATCCAGGGACTCCAGGATCATGACCTGAGCCAAAGGCAGTCGCTTAACCAACTGAGCCACCCAGGCGCCCTAATTCATGAACTTCTTAAACAACAAAATCATTTGGTGCCAAGTCTAGTGAAGAAGACAAATGTTTAAGAGGGAGACCAACCGTAAGAGACTCTTAATCACAGGAAAACAAACTGAGGGTTGCTGGGGGGAGGGGGGATGGAGGGATGGGGTAACTGGGTGATGGGCATTAAGGAGGACATGTGATGTAATGAGCACTGAGTATTATATAAGACTGATGAATCACTGACCTGTACCTCTGAAACCAATAATACATTATATGTTAATTAATTGAATTTAAATTAAAAAATGTTTAAAAAAAATCCCCTTATTAGTATAAGGTCTTCCTGGTGACATATATCTCATTGTGAAATGGCAATGGATAGGAAAAATGTGGCCATTTTCTCAACTCTGGCAGGATGCTAGCTGAGGAGTGTCACTGGTAGTTGCATGCCTGTCAGGGAATTCAGGGAGATCCATGCCATGATATGCTGTCTCTGTTCCTGATCTGTTTGGCCAACTCATTTGTTATTAGATTCTCCAGATCCTTATCTAAACAGCTTGAAAAGTTATAGAAGTTTTGGGGGGTGTGTGTGTGTGTGTACACATGCATGTACTTATGTGTTTGCTTCCAGCCAATCTGTAACTCATTTAGGTTTCACTTTCTCCCATACCCAGCCTGGGATGATGGACCATGACAGTGCTTCCTCTCTAGCATTCTACTAAACTTCTTCATACCTTCGACTTTATGTATAATTTCTACAATTATCTTTAGGGGTGAAAATAATAGGATTATTATGCAGATTGGGCTTACTAAAAGTCATGCCCTCTTACTTCAACTGGGCCCTCTAGCTACGCGGTCATCCTTATATTCTTTTCTCATTGGTGGCCCTATGGCATTCCCCACAGTGATCCACCTCCTCACATGTCACTTCCATCTTGCATCTCACTAATGCAGGCATCTTCTCCCTCTCTTCTCTCTCTCTGAGACAGCCAGGGCCATGTACAAGTGAGCACATCTTATCCTTTTGCACCTGACAATTCTTATTCACCTCAAGGGAAGTGATGCCACTCTCCCTTTCTCAAAATTACTCCTTCAACTGGTTTCTTCATCCCATTCCCTCCTCTTTGGCCAGGGTCATCTGTTTCTCAAATTTACCCTTTCATATCTTCTATCTCTTCTTCTCCACTGCTTATTCCTCCCAGACCATAAACATATTGAGTCTTTCCATCTTAAATAAGCAAAGGAAATAAAACTCTTCCCTTAGAGCAACAAACAAACAATAGCAGATTATTCAAAAATGTGATAGCACCATTGTAAAGACAAATATCCAATAGGTTTGTGTAGAAATTGCCTTTCATTGCCAAACTTCAGACCTATCTTATGTAGCAGCTATCTAGCTGGCTTCCCTGCCTCCAATCTCTCCCTCTTCCAATCCACCTTGCTGCCATATCAATCTTCCTAAAAAAATACAACTTTGTATATATCACTTCCCTTATAGGATAAAGCACAAATTCCTTTGTCTGAAATTTATGGACATTCATAACTTTCTCTCTCCTCCCCCTTAAAAAAACTTCTCTTCCCCATATTTCCGCATGAATCTTTTACTCCACCAAACTGGCCTTGAACACTCCACACAGTGTCTCCTCTGCATTGTTGTTCATGCTTCCCTCCTACATAATGTGCTTCCATCTCCACCACCACTTCCCTGAGCCCCATGATTCCTTCAAACCCAGTTCAATTTCCTCCTCCTTCAAAAGGCCTTTCCCAAAAGAACGAACCCTGGGGGGACCACTTTGCCTCTAAACACTCACAATATTTAACAATTGTCCAGCTTATTGGTGTTTAGCACTAGAGTGTCCAGGTTTGCATTGGTATGTAGTGGTTAAGTATATGTCCCAGCAGCAATATCTTATATTATACCTCTTTATATCCCTCTTTTTAATTAGCATTTAATCTTTTTTATAACAAAAACAAACCTGGCTGGGTAATGAAGCCTTTATGGGGAGGGTCTCTGAAAAACTACCAAAGTAAATGTCTAAGGTCTACACACAGATAGTGAGTTGACCAGAAAGGCATGTTGGTTATTTCTTCCTGTTATACCTGGTAGAGGTTGATGTTGGTATAAATATTCTCCCAGATGTGGTCATAATTGCACTGATGCAAATCCTGGGAAGCCACGAAAGTTGGATGAGATGGAGCCAGGATGACTGTCTTTGCAGCATGGTCTTGGAGCACTTGCTTTACTCGCTCAGGCCTGGAAATCTCAAGTAGAACAAGAAGAAAAGGAATGGTTCAGTAAAGGGTTATTCCCTTCTTCTCAGCAAAAATTTGGTCATATATACACAAATAAGAAATAAGCCCCAGGTGGGGCTTTATTCAGTTAAAAAATAAAATCAGACTCAAACATCACGATTCCCTTTGGTATGTCCATCCATTCAACATTGTAAATATTTATTTATTTATTATTTTTAATTTTATTATGTTATGTTAGTCACCATACAATACAGCATTAGTTTTTGATGTAGTGATCCACAATCCATTGTTTTCGTATAACACCCAGTGCTCCATGCAGTATGTGCCCTCCTTAATACCCATCACGGGGCTAACCAATCCCCCCTCCCCCCTCCCCTCCAAAACCCTGCTTGTTTCTCAGGTCCATGGTCTCTCATGGTTCATCTCTCCCTCCAATTCCCCCC